AGCACAAAAAGTATACTTCTAAATCAAATTAGAGCGACCGATAATCGCTGTTTACGATGTTTGATCCCCGATTTGAAACCCAGTCATTTCGCGTCAAGAGCATCGGTGCAACCTTTGCGCAATCATATCCATCAAGCTTTAGGCCTTTGTGATACATTGTTCTGATTTTGTCAGCTCGACACGCAGCTGCCATGACGATAATACATATTTGGCTCGTCCAATTAGATTAAAAAAAAAAAAAACACTTCAGTGGAATGGATCAACTGGTGGTTTGTCTTCGATTGCACGTGGACCATGTTCGCCGATTAATATAGAAGCAATGAACTGTAATCTGGGCAAGACGCGTTAATGGCCTCCACTGAGCGTTTCGGACCACTCGATACGCTCGCGTTATCGCGAAGAACGAGCGAGTTTAGTATTTTGACAGCGCCCTTTCACCGTGACTAATCCGAGGGCAACCGTATAGGGCAGGGAGTTTATCAGAGATTCAGCTTGAACGTAGAGATTCGGTACGCAAGGCCTTGTGTATTGTCTCGTGGCCCGCGGCCGTTCCGTTTTCATTCCGGCGAAACCGCTGCGTTAATATCGCCAACGATCAGATAATCAGAATTTATCGCCGCAGTAATTAGCACAAGAAATTTATGCTGCAATTACGGTGGCGGGGAAAGAAGACGACGATGAGAGAAAATTTTAGAACTGAACGAAAGACGGGGAATTTGGAATTCTGGGAATGTGGCGATGGTAGAATTTTTAATTCAAGATTCGGTGTTTAGGAATTTGGGAAGCTGGGAAATTTGAAGTCTGGGGATTTGGAGAATTTGGAAATTGGAAGATTTGGACACTTGGAGATTTGGAAAATTAGAAACTTAAGGATTTGAGAATTTGGGAACTTGGAATTCTGAGAATATGGCGATGGTGGAATTTTTAATTCAAGATTTGATATTTAGAAATTTGGGAAGCTGGGAAATTTGAAATCTGAGGATTTGGAGAATTTGGAAATTGGAAGATTTGGACACTTGGAGATTTGGAAAATTACAAACTTAAGGATTTGGCAACTTGAAATTCTGAGAATATGACGATGGTAGAATTTTTAATTCGAGATTTGATATTTAGAAATTTGGGAAGCTGGGAAATTTGAAATCTGAGGATTTGGAGAATTTGGAAATTGGAAGATTTGGACACTTGGAGATTTGGAAAATTACAAACTTAAGGATTTGGCAACTTGAAATTCTGAGAATATGACGATGGTAGAATTTTTAATTCGAGATTTGATATTTAGAAATTTGGGAAGCTGGGAAATTTGAAATCTAGGAATTTTGAGAATTGGGAGGAGAATTTAGAAATTGCAAGATTTCAACACTTGGAGATTTGTAAAATTACAAACTTAAGGATTTGGGAATTTGGGAACTTGGAATTCTGAGAATATGGCGATGGTGGAATTTTTAATTCGAGATTTGGTGTTTAGGAATTTGGGAAGCTGGGAAATTTGAAATCTGAGGATTTGGAGAATTTGGAAATTGGAAGATTTGGACACTTGGAGATTTGGAAAATTACAAACTTAAGGATTTGGGAATTTGGGAACTTGGAATTCTGAGAATATGGCGATGGTGGAATTTTTAATTCAAGATTTGATATTTAGAAATTTGGGAAGCTGGGAAATTTGAAATCTGAGGATTTGGAGAATTTGGAAATTGGAAGATTTGGACACTTGGAGATTTGGAAAATTACAAACTTAAGGATTTGGCAACTTGAAATTCTGAGAATATGACGATGGTAGAATTTTTAATTCGAGATTTGATATTTAGAAATTTGGGAAGCTGGGAAATTTGAAATCTAGGAATTTTGAGAATTGGGAGGAGAATTTAGAAATTGCAAGATTTCAACACTTGGAGATTTGTAAAATTACAAACTTAAGGATTTGGGAATTTGGGAACTTGTGAACTACTTGTGGAACTTATGGAAGACCTTAAAATTCGAGGATGTGAAATTTGACGATTTAGAAATCTAAGAACTTGATGATCTAAAAATGTACTCAGTTGTTAAAATTTTTCACCATATGAATGTAAAAATATAAAATCTTGAAGACTCGTGAACATCACAACTCTGATTCCTGCGAACCTTATTTCGAGTAACCTGCGAACGTCATCCTCGTTAAGAGGATAAAAGAAAAACCCGTATAACAGAAGCTTGTCTTCGATGAAGGCTATTACGCTCACTTATTTTTCTTCGTAGTACGTGGTCTTCTTTCGCGATCCCAGAGTACTCGGGGATGTTTGACAGCTACTTAGAGTTCATCGAATATCGATTACTCGTGTTACTCGGAATCCCTGCATCAAACATCGTAAAAGAGTATTCAATTCTACACGATTAACGCTAGAATGGAGAACTGCCAATCCAGCTTGAAACGCAATTTCACATAGGTTCTTTAGTGCTTCAGTAGATTACTAATTCTGTCAGTCAACGAGCAATTTACCCTAAGAAAGCGCTGATACGTTCAGAAACCCATTATAAACTCAAATATAACAAATCATCAAAACGCTATCTACTTTAATTAAAAAATAAAATGAGTAAACAAACGATAAAAGGTAATTAAACATTTTTCCTAATAAATATCCGAAGAAAAACTTAATGAATTTCGTAATTTAAAGTAAGAAACTTGAACCGGTCGAACGACCGGTTTGGTAGCTTCGGTGTTAAAAATCCGAAGATTAAATTGGGTTGTAAAACATTGGTTCGGATCCTGTTCACCTAACAAGGCGTTAACTCGTCTATAAGTAACCAGGAGCGGTCGATTAGCGTTCTAGCACGTAGATAGCTCGGTTTCGGAATGGTATGCGCGCGAGGGATGCACGCGGAGACAAACGGGCAGATCCAGCGATGGGGCGGGCGGCGGGCGGGCGCGGGGGCACGTGTCTGGGTGCAAATATAATCGTGGAGTGTCTCGCGGGAAAGTTAAGTGGCCGTGGCGAGCCGGTGTACGCAGAATAGGCCGCAATTAAGGAGTCCAGACGAAATACGCGAGCGGAGTGAGCGCCGAGTATTCTTCGTTCGGGGCTGCCGTCAGATTGCGCGCTTTATTTTAAATTTGCATAAAGCGGCGGGCTGCTTTACGCACCCCCTCTTCCTTCGTTC